AGCTCCTGGCAACCACCATTTTACTTTTTGTTACTATAAATTTGATTACTCTAGAGGCTTCATATAAGTGGTTTATTTCATTTCACACAATATCTGCAAGGTATCCGTGTTGCACTGTGTCAGAATTTCCTCCTTTTTTAAGGCTAAATAACATACAATTATATGTATAGGCCACATTTTTTAATTGATTCATCCATTGATGCATATTTGTGCTGCTTCCACCTTTTGGGTATTGTGAGTAATACTTCTAAGAACATCGGTAGGCAACTATTTTTTGAGACCCTGCTTTAAATTCTTTTAGCTGTATGCCCAGAAGTGGAATTTCTGGGTCATACACTAGTTCAATTTTTAATTTTTTTGAGAAACTGCTGCACAGTTGGGGTTTTTTGTTTGTTTGTTTGTTTTTTTGTTTTTTTTTGTTTGTTTTTGACTTTACACTTTACAGTATTATTTTGTTTTGGTTTCAGGGTTACTGCTATACAGTTTTCTATAGTAACTGTGTATCATTTTACATTCCCACTAACAGTTGTTCCAATAGCTCTACATCCTTGCCAACATTTGTTCTTTTTGGTTTTGGTTTTGTTTTGGTAGTAGTCACCTTAATGGGTGGGAGGTGAACTTTACTATTTTTCATGTAAAATAATTTTAAAAAAGAAAAACATTTTGTTCTGAGTGGAAAATTAACAAAGTACCATCATTTTGAATTTAAATGAAATGAAACTCTATGAAATTTCACCTTAAAATGAGATTTCAGCCCTTGCTTGGTGGCTGAGTCGGTTAGAGTGTTGACCAGTATGCCAAAAAGGTTGTGGGTTTGATCCTCAGTCAGGGCATGCACATGCAGGCACCTTATTTTTTTCTTTCACATTAATGTGTTTTGTTGTTTTTTTTCTCTCTCTCTCTCTCCCTTCCTTTCTCTAAAATTTATCCATGGGTGAGGATTTAAAAAATGAAAATTTTCCATTGATTTATTTAAAAAAAATTTTTTTTAGAGAGAGAGAGTGAAAGGGAGAAGGGAGAAGAGAGAGCGAGAAAGCGAGAGCGAAAGCCAGAGAGAGAGAGAAATATAAAATTGAGAGACACATTGAGCAGTTGCCTTCCACTTGTGCCTGACTGGGCTGGGGATCGAACCTGTGACCCTTTGGCCCGAGGGCTGACACTTTAACGACTGAGAAAAACTGGCTAGGGCCCATTTGGACTTTTGAACAAGTTTATTAGTATTCATTTGTGTTCAACTAATTCGGCCATCTTTGATTAATTTGCTCATTTGAACACTCTTAAATTTCCTTGCTAGATATAGAATTATAGTAGGCAGAGAAAGCATTTGTTTCTGCTGTTAAGGAAATTGTTTATAACTAAATCCCACATATCCAGAAACTAAATGGAAAAGTGAGGAACTTGTATGCCTATATTCATAACCCATGGACAGACAGTAGGGTGGTGAAAGCTTGGGGAGGGGGCGGGGGCGGGCTAGAAGAGGTCAATGGGGGAAGGGAAATATATGTAATACTTTCAACAATAAAGATTAAAAAATAAACAAATAAAAAAGTGGATGTGTGAAAACTGGGAAGCAAAGGAAAACCTCTTTTTCTTTTTTTTCTTTTTTATTATTTTTATTTTTTTATTTTTTTATTTTATTTATTTTTACATATTTTATTGATTTTTTTGCCCCCCTCCTTCCCTCCCACATATCCCCTCCCTCCCCAGAGTTTTATGTCCATTGGTTGTACTTATATGCATGTATACAAGTCCTTGGGTTGATTTATTATCTCCCTCAGACCCTCCTCCCCTCCCCGCTGTAATTTGACAATCTGCTTGTTGCTTTACTGTCTCTATATCTATCTTTTGGTTCATCAGTTTATAATGATGTTTATTATCCACAAATGAGTGGGGTCATGTGGTGTTTCTCTTTCATTGATTGGCTTATTTCACTCAGCATGATGTTCTCCAATTCCATCCAGGTTGCTGCAAATGATGAGAATTCCTTCTTTTTTATGGCAGCATAGTATTCCATTGTGTAGATGATTGGATCCAAAAACTATGGTACATCTACACAATGGAAAACCTATTTTTATTAAGTGAAAATATTTTTAGCTTATTCTTTCGCCCAGAAAAGTAGGCCAGTGTTACGCCCAGACTTCGTGATCCCCAACCTCTCACCAGCTTGCTTCTGTGGGCTTTGTAGAATGAATTCTGATGTTTGAATATCCATCCTTTTCATGACTAACCAGCAGAGAGGGTCTTTGTCTAAAGATGGCCTGGAGGACTATTAGGTTCTCTCTGTGTGGGTAGGCTCTTCCCCCCCTCCCACCTCCACCCAAGTTTATTTTGTCCTTTGTTTGGTTGGGAGAAAAAATTAAAGGCGTGATATATGTATCAGACTGTGCATGTAAAATGCAATAGAGGCTTAGAAAACCAGGACAATATCTCCAATCATCTCTTCCTCTTTTAATGATGTAATGAGGTGATAGGCTTCAGAAATATTCAAGCAGGGCCCGGGGAAGCTTAAACAGACACACTGTACTTAGTCAAGCTCTGTCTTTGTATGTTTTCCCCTGGGTAGAAAAATTGGTTCCTTTCCGGAAGATCCCCTTTGCCAGATGTTACACATGAAATTTGTGGTGGTGATCTCTTCCATGTCCATTGGTTATGCAGGGAGATTACCCAACACACACCCGCCTCTCCCCTGCCTCCCGAACTACGGTTATGACCTTTGAATAGTTAGGTTTCTGTCCTTCCGAGAAAGAGGAAAAATCCAAAATTGGAAAATGGAGTGAAATTGTAGATCTGAGGTTAGACTTCATCTCCACCCCTCCACCTCCATTATTAGGAACTTATGTGCTTTTGCTTCTACCTTTGGTGTCTTTAAAGTAAAGGATGTCAGAGGGGGCAGTTGATATACGCAGACAGTGCCATCGTTCTGAGAGGCTGGTCACAGCTCCCCGGGGAGCAACACTGTTTAAAGAGAGGAAAATACTCGGTGTGATACACTTGGAGTCAGTGTTTGCTATGAATGACATTAGCGTTTCGTTTGAAATCTAAAGAAATTCAGCATGGAGCCAGAAGTTAATATACTCGCTCTTCGTTTGACTATTTGTTGTAGTTCATTTGAAATCACATAGCAAACATAATCAGAGTGACATAACAGGGAAAGTATTATTTACAACTTTTCACTTTCTAAAATCTACTTTCAATTTTTTTTTCCTTTGGTGCATTTCAACTAGCTTCTAAGATGTTCAATGTAGATATTTTTGTAGCCTGGGCCTCAAACTTCTTTTTCCTCTGCCTACCTCTGTTTTATTAAGGGCAGATCTTTTGTGATGAGAATGTGCTTTGGCGGCATCATCCTTTTTTTGGAATGTAAAATGGAAACTGTTGAAATGTTCCTCCGTGAACTCACCCGTGAGCTGGAGAATCGTGATAAACATTCACATCTTAAGGGGAAATAACCATCTGACAGATGTTGCTCTGTGGTCTGAAGAAATAATGGTCTTGCCCCCTACGGTTTTTGGAGGAATGTTGGTATTTTTGTACCTATTTTCCATATTCCTAACTCATGATCTAAATAAAAGCTAAGTGTGGCTCAACTGATACTTTAGCTTTGCATGGTGTTCAGACTGTTCCTCTCAGCAAAACGGTTGTTTATCAAGCGCCAGAATTTTCTGATAACACACACTACCAGAAAATCCTACAGAGAGCTCAATAAAATGCACAACAGAAATGCTAAAAGCTAGCATCTAGCATGGGACCTAAGGGATTGGGTATAAGCCTGGAAAGATACTGTTTCTTGAATGCATATTTCAGTGAGCACCTGTGATTGGAAGCATACATAGATTTCCCCCTCTTTGGTAGAAAAATGGTTAAGTCATAGGAAAGGTAATGTGGTATTGATATCTGTGATTTTTCTTGGCGAATGACCCATCAGAGCTTGGGAGTGAAAGGTGAATGAATATCAGCTATTTTCAGCACCTGGAAGTAAAGGGACCCCCTTTTAGTTGGTTACACAGCATCGTGAACCTCCCATAGATGAGCAGCTCATGAAGTAAAACATCAGCAAGTGTGAATGGTGGTTTCTGAGCTTCTTTCTGAAAGCTGGAGGATTTCAATAGGAGCAACTCTCAGGGCCTCATTCATTTGGTTTGCAGGCCCCAGTCCATCCCCTTTGCCCCACACTCCCACCCCCACCCCAGTGTTGTCACAGCCTGAAATGTGTAAATTATCAGTCTGTCTTTGAATGACTCATTAGTTGCATCTTGCTTGCAAAAACCCCCAAATTCAAAAGTGATTGCTGTGAAATAGCTACTGTTTGTCATAGATATCGACACATAATATTGCTCCTTCTGTTTACCCTTAGCCTTGGGCTGTCCGGGGCAAAGCTTCCTTCCCCAAAGGGAAAAAGTGGCAAAAGGAAAACCTATTAGCCTCAAGCAGGTAGAAATGTGTGAGGGTCTGAGGTACCTTGCATGTACTTCAGAACCATTTTATCTAATTTCCTCCCCCACCCCTCAAAGAACATAGCCTGGGAGTCATAAACAACTCAGGATTTGCTTTCTGAATTGTTAACGGGAGAAGGTCATCTGCTTCACCATATGGAAGTACTGTCCTCACCCATATGAAGCTAACACAGTTAGAAGCCAGAACCACAGGAGGACGCACCTTCTTGCTCCTCAGGGCTTTGCCTTTTACGGAATTCATACAGCCCTGCCTTACTTAGAGTTCAGAGACTCTACTCTTATGCTAAGGGCACATCGCTCAGACTAGGAACCCCTGGAAAAAGGTTGAAGAGGACTAAGTGAACCCCTTAATAACAGGGTGTACTAGTTTAAAGTAACTTCATTGTGTTTTATTTAGGGAGGCATAGCACATGCTAAGCAATTTATTATTATTTTTTTAAATGATCCCTTTGCAACGTAATAGCTAGTATTCATTCTTTCCTCTGAATTGGGATGTTGAACAAGTACTTTTGCTCTTGTGCATGATGTTTGTGCATTTGCTTTAAGACTGCAGCGACTACCTGATGGATGACGAGTGCCTGCTGAAGCTGCTGAAGGGCTGCTGCCTGAAGAACCTCCACCGGCCCCTGCAGGCGGAGCTGTGCTTCAACCACGTCATCCAGAGGTGAGCCAAGGAGGAAACCTACCCGCCCGCCAACTGTAGCTCCGGGGAGTTCCTGTTGGAAAGTGATTTCTCTTGCTGCGACCCTTTCACTTGGTGTGGCCAGAAACAGAACCCATTAGTGTTGTCTTTGTTCTCTGAGAACCGAATGATCAGTACACAGCTTTGTGCATTGCCACTTGGAGGTAAAAGGTGGCACACAAAACTAAATGAATGGCCAGCCTGCAGCTGTCCAGCTAAACATGGGCAGCAGTGTACAGAACCTCTGACACTTTTTCGATTCCTGCATTTAAAAAATATATATATATTTTATTTATTTTTTACAGAGAGGAAGGGAGAGGGATAGAGAGTTAGAAACATCGATGAGAGAGAAACGTTGATCAGCTGTCTCCTGCACACCCCTCTCTGGGGATGTGCCCACAATCAAGGTACATGTCCTTGACCAGAGTCGAACCCAGGACCTTTCAGTCGTCAGGCTGACACTCTATCCACTGGGCCAAACTGGTTAGGGCTGCATTTGTTTTTCTCTTTATTTATTCCACAGATATTTGAGCACCCACTGTGTGCCAGAGATTGTGCTGGCTCCTAGGGATTCAGAGCTGAGAAAGGAGACTTGGCATCCTTGTGGTAATAATCACAGGGAAGAGAGCTATGAGGGAACACTGGAACTGCTTCTCTTTTGGCAAAAGGCGTGTCTCCTGTATACACACGAGTATTTTGTTTTCCCCCTAATAGCATTGATATTGGGGTCAGGATCTGGTGCCTGGCTTTCTCCTCTATATTGGAATCATAAGTGAAAACATCTATAAAGGGCCAGATAAGAAACTTTAATGAGTGGTGGTAGCAATAGAGATTGGTGGGCCCTGTAAATTCGAGAGATGTGTGTTCTCTCCACTCTTTAGCTCTAATTGATGGTTGCTCTGTATACTGTAGACTCTGTAGCAATGATTCCTACAATTTTTCATGAAAGGCCTGGAACCTGGATTTGATGTAAACTCTCCTAATTTTTAAATATCGGCTCCTAGATTGCCGCCACAGACAGCCAGCTGACATCCTCGGTGCCATACCGGCGCCTTTCCGCCCATGGCCACTCTTCCCCTTCCTGCTGAGAATGTGGGGGTCTGGTGAATTTATAAGGAGAGGAAAGAGACCATGTCTAGTTCCCAAATAAGTAATATACTTATAATGCTTTGTGAACATGTTAAGTATTAAGTATTCATTGAGTTCAGTTTTATTGGTGTTTTCATAAGGCTCAAAACGATTATTATTATTTTAAATATATTTTTTAATTGATTTTTTACAGAGAGGAAGGGAGAGGGATAGAGTTAGAAACATTGATAAAAGAGAAACATCGATCAGCTGCCTCATGCACACCCCCTACTGGGGATGTGCCCACAACTAAGGTACATCATCTTGACCGGAATCAAACCTGGGACCTTTCAGTCTGCAGGCTGATGCTCTATCCACTGAACAAAACCGGTTTCGGCTCAAAAGGATTTTTAATGACCCGTTTGTGCCATTTGTTATGTTTTAACAACAGTGAAATGTGTGCTTCTGTGTTCTGTAATTTTGGATTTGGGGTTTTTCTTTGTTGGCATTTTATCCAACAAAGATAGGAAGTCTCTCTAACGTCACTTTGCGTTTCTTCCTGCCAGTTCCCCGAAGGCTTGGCCAGTCCAGAACCACATCCATGTTAATTTCATGGTGTCCAGGTTCTTGGGTCTTTTGGGCAATGTAAATTTGAATTGCGAGCTCATGTGAGGGTGGGCCTATTGGTTGTTAATTTCCCCGGGAATGTGCTTTTGCTTCCCCCTGAGAGCAGAGGCCCAGGAGCCAACTGCCTGCGTTTTCCTCCTGCACCAGAGATTTTTTTTTCTAATCTTCCTTTTCTCTGATGGAGCAGCCTTTCCGGGGCCCCAGCTTGTATTGAGGTTTCAGTCTTGCTCCCTGTCCCATGGGCCAAGGCCTTCTCTCCTCCATGGATATTGAATCACTGAGCCCTGATTGCTCAGACTGGAGTGGACCCAAACTGCTTGGTCACCCACACACACAGAGTTCTGGTTTTGTGTTATTTTCAGTTTGAGAATTTTCTTTATGTTTGTGGGACTGAGCTCTGCATTTGGAAGTGTGCTAATCATATTTCTAGTGCTTGCAGATGTTTTGACATCAGAGAATTCTTATAATATTGCTGAAAACAGCCGAAACCAGTTTGGCTCAGTGGTAGAGCGTCGGTCTGTGGACCGAAAGGTCCCAGATTCGATTCCGGTGAGGGGTATGTATGTTGGTTGCGGACACATCCCCAGTAGGGGGTGTGCAAGAGGCAGCTGGTCGATGTTTCTCTCTTATTGACGTTTTTAGCTCTCTGTCTCTCTCCCTTCCTCTCTGTAAAAATCAATAAAATATATTTAAAAAAAATATTGCTGAAAACAGAAGTTATTGACTTTTTTTTTTAAAGCATAAGACTTAACAAGTCCAAGTGGCCCTTCATAAAAAATAATACAGCATTCTTATTTTTAAATATTTATGTTCAGGAGTATGATCTTGTCCTTTCCAGGGTTTGGCTTTGAAGATTATAGCCCATATGTGTTCATATCCCTAAGGGGAAGTAAATAATCCCATTTAGACTAAGGAATAAAATAAGAGTTTCAGATAGTAAAATAATACTATTTATTGCTGTAGTTTATTAGATTTTTTGAGTACATTTTGTATAATGACAGCTTTTCTCAGAAAATCTTGCTGCTAAACACAACTTTTATGGGAAATGGGGAAAGTATGTGGGTTGAAAAAGAATGACACCTTTCTTGTTCTGTTGAGACTTAATTGCTTCCCACTCATTCTTTTAGTGAAAAGCTGCTGAAGTTTGACCACTACCTGGTGCCATTTACTCTGTTTGAGTTGGCGTACTTGTACAAAACCCAAGGGGAGATGGACAAGGCTTTCAAGACTCTGGAAACTGCACGGTGAGTGGCGATGGCCACTTCTCTGGGGCTGCTGCTGTGGAGTTGGGAATGTCAGTGCCATTGTAGCAGCAGGGATAGTCCATACACACTTAAAAGTTAACACATAAATGAAAGGTGGTTGTACTGCTTTCTTTGCTAACTTATGCTTCGCTTATGCTCATGGCTTTTGCTGCAATTGTGCTGTTTTCTTTTTCTTTTCTTTTTTTTAAAATATATTTTATTGATTTTGTACAGAGAGGAAGGAAGAGAGAGAGTTAGAAACATTGATGAGAGAGAGTCATCGATCAGCTGCCTCCTGCACACCCCCCACAGGGGATATGCCCGCAACCAAGGTACATGCCCTTGACTGGAATCGAACCCAGGACCCTTCAGTCCCCAAGCCGACGCTCTATCCATTGAGCCAAACCAGCCTTGTGCTGTTTTCAACCTTCTGAGTGCCTGGCCCTGTGACTGTTTACAGAGGTTGTGATTGTGGGTCTCTGTCTGACAGATACCTAGTCCAATCTATTCTATATGAGAGGTCAGCAAACTGTTCCTGTAAAGGGCCAGATAGAAAGTGTTTTTGGTTTTATAGTGTAAGATCTCCACTGCAGCTACTCAATTGTATCAAAGCAGCCACAGAAGATGGTATAGAAATAAATGGGTGAGTCCAAATTTAGCCATAATCTTGATAATAATTTGCTGACCTTTGGTTTATTCAACCATATTTCTCATTTCCTTGAAGAAGCTTTTTGACTCTCCCATTGGCTCTCTCTGTTTTCTGGTGTCTCTGGCCATTTCAAAGCACATATCATTCCTACTACACAATGGCTCACAGGCTTGTGATCATGGTCTGTTTGTCCTGTTTGTTGCTATGGATAAAAAATGCCATTAGTAGCTCCAGGCCATAACTAGCTTAGTGGTTCGTTGGTTTGGTCATTTACTCAAATTCAGCAAGTATTTCCTGAGCACCTCTTATGTGCCCAGCATAGTAAAGGCGCTAGACAGACAACTGTACATAAACTATGTTCCTGCTCTGTGAGTAGGAGGGAGATATTAAATAAGCAAGAAAAGAAATAGAAATGGTATGTGTTTTGCTGAGACTCCCATTCTGATACAGAGAACCGGGCTGTGGCTCTAGGTTGGGTTGATTCTGAAAGTCTTCTTGAGGAGGAGATATTGTAGTTGATATTTGCCTAAGTAGAGCCAGTCCTGAGATCAATCAGCAGAAGACTGCGTGGGGCACATTCCTGTCTGAAACCACAGCTAAGTAACCTCTAGGCTAGCGCAGGTGGAGCCACTAGGTCAATAATGATGGTTTTTACTGAGATGGGGAATCCTTAGAGGGTTTGGGAGAGAAATAAATACTTCTGTTTGGATCATGATGTTTTGAGGAGCCTGTTAGGTATCCACATGGAGGTGGTGAGTTGGCAGTCAACTGGAGAAGCATAAAGTTCAGTGGAAAGGTAAATGCTGGAGATTTCAAGTTACCAGCACAGACACAGAAGCAATGATACTTGATGAAGTCATTTTGGGAAACTGAAAGAGAGACAGAGAGAGACAGAGAGAGACAGAGAGAGAGAGAGAGAGAGAGAGAGAGAGAGAGAGAGAGAGAGACAGACAGACACACTTTGGGATATGGTATCATTTTACTGAGAATAAACAGAGAAATGGCCACCAAATCAGGATGACATCCAGGAAAGCCAAGTGAACAAAGTGTTTCAAAAAGAAGACAGTGGAAGTTGAGAGGACAGTGGACCTGCTGAGAAGTCTACTAAAGTGAGACTAGAGAAGTGAGCTTGGCTGCATGAAGATCATTGGTGACCCTGACAAGTGAGGTGAGAAAGTAGAACCAGCTACTTTGGCCAACTCTTTCAGGATGTTTTTCTGAAAACACAGTAATGGGGCAGAAGCTTCAGAGGCATGGTGGAGCCAAAAAAGCTGCTTTCTTTCTCTTTCTCTTTCTCCTCCTCCTCCTCCTCCTCCTCCTCCTCCTCCTCCTCCTCCTCCTCCTCCTCTTTTTGTCTCTCCCTTCTTCCTTCTTCCTTTTTTCTTCCTCTTCCTCCTCCTTCCTTCTTCCCCCTTTTTCTCCTCTTCCTTCTCCTCCTCATTTTTCTCCTTGTTAATGAGAGATATGAGAACAAATCACTTTTAAAAAATTAATTTGTTGAGGGTGATAATGATGTATTTCAACTGACATGTATGTGTCATGAAATGTAGCTCATGGAAAATTAGGGACTATAAGTACCATCATTCCAATTATTCATTATTTATTTAATGTTACCTAAGCAGTACACAATAAGGCAAATTCGTAAGGATGAAAATGAAAGACTAATAATTCACTGCTGAAAAACAAGACCAGCCGTGTTCCAAAGTCACCACTAACTCAAGCCAGTGCTGATGATGCCAACATAAACAGTCTTCCCAGTAATTCCAGAACAATTGTCTATAGTTTCCCTTATGTAGTAGGAGCCTTGCAAAGTTGCCAAAATTTGTGATCAGACATTTAGGAAAATACCTAATTATATCCCTTGGTAAACTCTAGTAAGATGTTGATTTAGCTTATGAATAATGACCCTTATTATAAATAATAACCCTTTTCAGGATTACCAGTAAGTAGTACTTAGATCTATATACAATGAAGGGCTGTGGAAAGAAATAAATGCCACTGCAAAGAAAGAATTTACAGCTCACCCATGGGCCAAAGCAATGGGTGAAAGCAGGAGCCCAAAGTTGAAGCCATTCCATTTTGATCACTCTTATCAGTTCTAGCAGAGAATAGTCATGAATGATCCCAGTAAAGTTTTTACATCATCTATGGATTTTAATGACCTGGCTCCTTCTGACATTACTATACAGTAATTATTGGCCGAACTGTTGCTACATGTATTTGCCTGTGAGAATCGGAGTAAGTGATTTTGGTATCATGAGGTAATCCTGCTGTCTTCACTGCAGCTGTTGTTTCGTGGAAGTCTCAAGGTAATTATTTGGAGGAAGTTGAGATCCATCAAGTTCACCTTGTTTGTCTGAGGCTGCCTTAGCATTTCCAGTTCAGAAAAGAAGGTCCACTGTTAAAGAATAGTTCACAACATTGTTAAACCCTCCTCATACTCTTCTTGCGGTGTTTGTGAAATGGCTTGGTAGTGAAGTAAAACCTTGGTGTTCAAAGTCTGACTTTTAGGTCCTCACCAGGAAGCTTCTAGAAATAAGGAATATTGCCATCCCCCTCTCTTCACAGGTCACCATCTACATTTTAAACAGTATAGACTGGTATGCATAGTCAGGTTTGAAAGCAAATAAGGAGTGAATATGAGAGAAGGGGAGGATGGTGGTGGTGTTCTGGTATAGAAGAACTTTTAACATTTCAATTTTGCTGTTAATGTTTTTAGAAACAACTACAAAGATTACTCCATGGAGTCTAGACTGCACTTCAGAATTCAGGCAGCTCTTCAACTCTGGAAAAAGCCCTCCTCACACTGATCAGAGCCTGGAAGATGGATGGACTGCCCCTCGATTACACCCACATCTGCTACAGATTAGCCCTTGTATTAAAGTGGAAAAGTGATCTTGTGAATGAGAGAGAAAAATAATTTTATTATCAATATTTTCTATCATGTGGGTGGTTTACTGTTCTACGCGAATGACTCCATCCTCCTCCCTCTCCCCCCACCCCCTCCACTCTCCCCACTCCCCGCTATGGAATAATGTTCAGTACTATCTAGAAATTTCTTATATTTTGCCTCTTCAAACAGAATTTCATATTAGGTTTAAATTGGAGAGTGGGGAAGTCTTTTAAAGGACTCACAGGTACAGTAAAGCCTAATCAGATTATTTATTTTTTTTCTCTCTAATATTGGTTAAGTAGCAAATGGCTTACAAGTTGAGCCATTTTTAGATTTGTTGGTCAGTTAAACTTCAGAGTTATTTTGTTGCCTAGAATTTAAATTTCCGAGGGGAAATAAAATCACTTACATTCAAAATAGCTTAATAACTTCTTGAAAAAGACAGGCAGTGGTGTGAACAGGGATGGGATCATGTAGTTAATGGGTTGAAAAGACCCATATCTAGCAAAGACAGTGAAATATTATTATTGTTTTTTTTAATTTTTATTTTATTTTATTGATTTTCTTACAGAGAGGAAGGGAGAGAGATAGAGAGCTAGAAATGTCGATGAGAGAGAAACATCAACCAGCTGCCTTTGCACACCCCCTACCTGTGCCCGCAACTAAGGTAAATGCTCTTGACCGGAATCGAACCTGGGACCTTTCAGTCCGCAGACTGACACTCTACCGCTGAGCCAAACCGGTTTTGGCTATTTTTTTTTTTTTATTCATCATGTAAATTAAATGTGGTGACATTTTTGAGAGATTATCCTGTTTTTGAATGTACTTAAGTCTATTATAATAACAAAAATTTAAAAAATGTGTATCTAAAGGGAAGAAAAAGTTATATTTTAGACAATATCCTTAGCAATGATAGCCTAAAATATATATATACATTGATTATTTTTCTTATATGAAGCAAAGTTCCTGCTGCTTTAAATGATATGTAAAATATTAATAATTTTTACATTCATGATGTTGATAAGTAAGATCTAATTTTCTAATCTCTCTAGCACTGTGACGGTTCCTTGTAAATATCTGGACTGTGTTTAGTCCTTTGATTTTGGAAATGCAATAGGGACATTGAGTGGAAGAGAGCATGACTCCATGGGTTCCTGGCTCTGCTACTGGTTAGCAGTTACCAGAGTGACCTTGATGGAGCCCCACTCTCTGCAAATGGGAAGAGAACAGATGACTATCAAGGTCTTCAGTTTTAGAACTGTCAGTATTTTAGGTATTTATTTTCAGCAAACAATGTTAAAATGTTTAATCCAAATCACTCTCACTTAGAGTATGTTTTTATTTTGCAGTCATCACTGTCTCTAACCCCCAACCCTCAAATATGTATGTTTTGTGAGTAAGGACCAGTTTGTATTCAGAGCGAGGAAATTTGGGAATCTCTGAGTCAGGGTTTTGTCCTGTTTCTGCCTCTGTTTTGAAGACTAACTTGTCATGGAGGCCTATGCAATTTAACAGAAACAGCCTCAGATTGGAAGCCAGGGGCTCATCTCTATTAGCTAATAGCTTCTCACCCTGCAGCAAGCCATTCACCTCTTCTGGGACTCAGTTTCCCTCATAGGGATAGCCTCACAGAGCTTAGTGCTTGTGAGGGCTCTATCAGATAATACAGAATCCTATGCACAACTTTGTGTGAACTGTGCAAGACCATATGAACAAGCGTTGTAACGATTATGGTTTTTATGCACCAATTATAGTATCAGTACTAGGTATTGGCTGAGTCTGTGTTCCCTGATATAAAAGGAGAAAAGCATGGAAATTCTATCACCTTTCAGTGTATTCATGTAGTTGACACTGACAGTGGCCCAGATTATACAGTTATTGCTTGCTACTTATTCCCTGTGACATGAGCCTGTCCCCAGCAGGTGTTTGCCTTGTTTTTTTTTGTTTTTTTTTTAACTATTTGTCCAATAATGAGAATGCATTTCCAATGGAAGATGTTAGTACAGTTCGAGTCAGATGATATGGTGGAAGATCTGAATATGTGTTATTAATATGCATTATGTAACTTACTGCAGGTCCAGACAAAAGAGGAAATAAAAATAAACTGTCATTAAACTATTAGTGAAAAACATGTTTAATAATTATTTTTTATATAATGGGGAAAATGTTTATAATATCTTAGAAGAGCTTTGGTAGCATTATTTTTTTTAAAAGTAAAAACATCCACATTGTTTCTGTGAAAAGCTATAAATTAGTGAAAATCAGTAATAAAAATTCTCTTTTTGGTATAAAATGTAAACAATTTAAGCCAATAGTAGTTATTTTTATTTTATTTGAACTCTGCATTATGAACAAATATAAAAGTAATTCATATCTATTTAAAATCTCACTGTTATTTTTAAAAATTTTATTTTTATTGTCACTTCCTATTGCTTTTATGGTTAATCTAGCCAATGGACTTTTAAGTGCTGTAAAATCACTAACAGTACAAATATTAATCTGTTTCCTGCCATGTTTAAGATATCATGACACCAGTGTCTTGTGCCAGCAGCTCATATTGCATTTTTGGAGTTAGTTTGTGACTCAGGGTGTTCTCTATAGAATGAGTACTGAAGTGACAACGTTTTATCTAATGTTTTGAGGGGCACATGTGGTAGAGTTGGGCTGCCAACGTGTCTGACAGTTTGTGCAATTTGTGTAGTTCTTAGTATAATTGCTTTTCTTTAAAAAAAAAAAAAAAGGGGGAGAACCAGAGTCCTGGTTGGTGCTGTATAATTTTGAGACTCAAGTAGAGGTTCTGCTTCGTAAGATTGTGACAATGTAGGCATGACGTCCGCTTGACAACTGAGAAAAGATTACTGCATAAGCTCTTTTATGGACATTTTAATGTGTCTGTGCTTCTTCTGGATACAAGAAGGCCCAAGTTACATAGGGAAAGAGAGTCCATTGATTTTCAATCTCTTTTGCAAGTGGGTCCAAACTGTAGCAAGGTGAATTCTAGATCAATCAGTGTCCAAGATTTTAAGTCATTGAAACAATCCAATGACAAAACCATCTCTTTGGCAAAGTTGTAGTCTAGCAGAGCACTGTGATTAACATTCCAACTCGGCCTGGAAGCTAATGGTTTAACTTTGAGGTTAAAATACTCCATCAGTCTTTTTTTTTTTTTAATATATTTTATTGATTTTGTATAGAGAGGAAGGGAGAGAGATAGAGAGTAAGAAACATCGATGAGAGAGAGTCATCGATCAGCTGCCTCTTGCACACCCCCCACTGGGGATATGCCCACAACCAAGGTATGTGCCCTTGACCGGAATCGAACCTGGGACCTTTCAGTCCCCAAGCCAACGCTCTATCCATTGAGCCAAACCGATTCGGCTCCATCAGTCTTGATTAGGGCTTCAAATCAGTGGGATGTGTGTAAAGATGAAAGTTATCTCCTTTCAAAAAAAGTGTTTTCTCTTTTGAAGCTACATTTAAAGGTAGTTACATTTTGATATGTATTAATAGCCTGGTTCCAATTCTCACCCATTTCTTTAAAGCGAGTCTGTTGATGTTTTCAAATAGATGCTTTCCTGCTTTTTCATATTAGACAAAACAATTTAAAAAAGGTCTTTGTGACCAATTGGTAAAACAAATTATTCAATTCTACATTGACTTTAAAAAATATTTTTTTTTGTTTATTCCTGTACTCTATGTATTTAAAAATCAAACATTCAAATACATTTAGTGAAAATGAACTAACGAAGATTCCAGTGATCATATAGATGCCAAAGATTTTGGGATTCATCAGGCCTGAAATGGATCTTGGAAAATTGTCTCATCCTTCCTGATCTCTAACAGTGTTTCTCCTTCAGTCCTGCTCTGTCCAGTATGGTAGCCACTGGCCACATGGGGCAGTTGAGCACTTGAAACATGGCTGGTGACACATGTTGGAAGGATGCTGGGTGTGGGGAGCACTCACACATGCTGCAGTTCTATTTAGGGGTCTCCTAAAACTGGGCTGCCTGGAGTTTTGGCTTTTTACTATGATCACCTAGTAATATTGTCAATTGTGGTTCAAATATATATTGGTGGGATTTACCTTTTCTGCTTTAGTACCCATAAACTTTCATTCCATCTTGTTCTGCAGATGATCAAGGCCGTTGGCACATTTGAATATGATTCCTTCCCCACCCCCAAAGCTCCTTACATACTATAAACTGAGAGAATTGATTTTTTTAAGATTACCATTTTAATCTGATTTTCCCTGCCTTTTCAGATGCAACTTCACAAACTGTTAGAATTGTACAGGAAATGACTCTCAACTTTGGGCTTTAGTAGACTTTATGATTGCAACAGTATTTTATAAGTTTAACATTATTCTGAAAAAATTTAATTCCTGAACCTTTCATTCCATTATACTATCAATGTTTCAACATTAACTCAGCTAGGCCAATATTACTATTTAAAGATTTTAAGGTACTAGCTATCCACTTACAGAATAATTTTTAGGTACTTGTTATCCAGTTACAGAATAATTTGGCAGGTAGTTTATTTAAAGTTGTATATTTTATGCCTTTATATATGCTGCCTATTATTATTTCTAGTAAAATGTATACATATAATTAACATATATTAATCTCATTAGACATTTCTTGGTCAAATACACAGGTAGATAGATAAATGGGTAGAAAACACCATACAAATATTTTTTTAAAATATATTTTATTGATTTTTTACAGAGAGGAAGGGGAGAGATAGAGAGCTGGAAACATCGATGAGAGAGAAACATCAACCAGCTGCCTCTTGCACACCCCCTACCTGGGATATGCTCACAACCAACGTACATGCCCCACATGCCCCTGACTGGAATCGAACCCGGGACCTTTCAGTCCACAAACCGACGGCTCTACCACTGAGCCAAACCGGATTCGG